GTAATCCTTCTGTTTAATTAAAATCTATAGAACTTCAGTTTAACTTTAGTCCAAAACCTGAAAAGCAATAAATGTTCCTTTTTTTCTATAGACCCAAAAACAAAAGTCCGATAGGAAAGACAGATGTCAGACGCACTCCCAGACAGACAGACATTTGAATCAATCAATATCCTTGTCATTAAGTAAAGTCTCCTTCAAGTTCACACGTTCTCCGGGGCGTCTGCAGCCGGCTGCTCATTTTGTCCAGGGGAACTGTGCTGACCCCTGAGCCACAGCCTGGGATTGTCCTCATGCTAATAAGGAGGGGGAACCAATTCATCGTTGCACAATTCGATTAGACATCTGCATATTGAGCATCTGCACACAACAAAAATCTGCCAATATCAGCCTCTCCATCCCCCCGCTGGGCCCCAGTGGGGTAAGCACCCCGTGACCCCGAGGGCAGCCCCCTGTCCCTGTTCCAAACCCATCACCCTCCCTCTCTCCCTCTCATCCCCTCCTGACCCTGTCAGGCCCGGCTACAATACCTGACCCCGCCCCAGAGACGAGACGAGTGGAGTTCAAGGTAAATGTCCCTCTCTCTGCAGCCGTCTGCGGGGCACTGATCGGCCCCTGTCCGGTAATCACATGCACCGCTCTTTTCCACCCAAACAGACAGATGCTCAAAATGTTTTTTTTGTTGTTTTTTCAAGCAACTTCTTTAAAAAAGACTCATCCTAATGACCTGCCTTCAAAATGAAGGTTTTCCTTTTTTGGGTTCCATTGTAAGCAGCCCCTATTCAGAAATCTCAGCCACTCAGACTATTTCCCTCCGTTTTTCATCCCTTTTATTGATTCATCTGGTTTGCTTTCAGCAATTGGAAAACATGACAGCAAGTCAAGAAGTTTAAAATATCTTTAGCAACACCAGATACAACCGGAATCAGGCATCATTAAACCAAATAACATCCAACAGTAAACTAAAGTGAAGTTTCTTTATACAGCCCAAATATGGATTAAAGTTCTGGTTCTGTTACTTTCTAATTGTTTAAATCATAGATGAATCATCATATAATTCTGTGAGTTTTTAAGGTAGATTGAGGGACAATGTTGCCACAAAAGCCAAGCATTCAGCTCTATGTGAGAACAGACATAGGAAAATAATGCTGCCAGTGGTTCCTCTCCTATAAGCTACCTGAGCTGGTCGAAGTTTTGCAGGTGCTTCAGGGATCTCCCAGCAACCAAATCAGTCTGAGCTAGTTAGAAAGATAATGTCCTCATTGGTTCAAATATCAGCGACCGACATGGAGGCAGAAGTGATGCACTAAAGCTAATGGGCCCTTTTTTATCTTGTAAAATAACCCTTGATGTGGCTCATGTGTTTTATAAGCATCTTGGTTTCGATTTATTTCCCTATCAGTTTTTGAGCAGCAGTAACAAAAACTACCTGTTTCCACATCTGGTGGGAAATAAATACAATTATCAACATTAAATGATGGAAAAAAGTTCAGCAACATATTTGTAGTTACCATGTTGTCTTCTTTAGCCATGACAGAAAACATTAGAATGGCTAACAGGGTGAATAAGAACAAACTGATCTGCTCACATCTTATTTGCTTTATAAGTTTATCTGTGCATCCATCAATCGCCCGTTATAGATTGGGATTATTAGAATCCTATGGAGGAAGATTCTATCAGTATCAGATTTTATTTATCCAGATCTCATAGGTGGAAGTTGTAATTTAGATGGATTTGTAAATTCAATTCAGTTTATTTTGATAGCGCCAATTCACAACACGTCATCTCAAGGCACTCTACAGTTCACCAGATCATACAGTCAAGTTGATTCAAAGTTTTCTATCTAAGGAAAACCAGTTGATTGCATCGACTCATTGACTCGAAGGCAATCCCTCACACTTAGCATGCTTGTAGCGACAGTGGAGAGGAAAAACTCCCTTTCAACAGGAAGAAACCTCCAACAGAACAAGGCTCAGTGTGAGCGGCCATCTGCTGAGGCCCGGTCCAGGAAACACACAGCCAGGTAGACAAGCTCCAATCCAGCTCCCATGTCAGAGGATGAAGAGAGCACATCCAGCCATTCACAGTCAGAGAAACGGGACTACACAAATTGAGAATGTTGTCCTTTAGCTTTGCTTTCTGTTCAACAGAACAGTCCCATACACCCAACCTTTTAGCATTTATTAGAAAATAATATATTTTATTTATTCTCTTTGTTAAACCAAAGGCTGATTTCTGAAATGGATGCAGCAGTCCTCCTTTTTCCATCTACAGAATGAACCATGGATTTAGATATTTTGCAGCTGACTTTCTCAGTGCTCAGTGGTGCAGTGGGTAGCACAGCTGCCTTGCAACAAGGAGGTTCTGGGTTTGAATCCTGGTCTGACTTCTTTTTGCATGGAGTTTGCATGTTCTCCCTGAGCATGCGTGGGTTCTCTCCGGGTACTCCAGCTTCCTTCCAAACTCCAAATACATGAATGTTAGGTTAACTGGCTTCTCTAAATTCCCCTGAGGTGTGAGTGTGTGTGTGAATGGTTGTTTGTCTCTGTGTTGCCCTGCGATGGACTGATGACCTGTCCAGGGTGTACCCTGTCTCTCACCTGTAGACAGCTGGAAAACAGCACCAGCAGTCCCTTATCCCTGCTTGGGATAAGCTTGACGGAAAATGGATGGATGGATTCAAATATTGCAATAGATGTGTCTGAGCTGTTGTATTTATTGTAATATTCAGTCCCTATTTATAGGTAGCCAAAACTTCAGATCAGATTAGAGTTTCTGTCTGCATCAGGCTAAACAGCTGTGTATCAATTTGACAAATGTTTATTTTTCATTATTTTTCTCAAGTAACAATAGTATCTTAAACAAACAGAGATCCAAACAGTAAATCAGTTTAAGTCATCAACAGTCTGGCTGCAAAGCTGAATTATGAACATGAAGCTGAGCTCCTCTGAGGAAGACCATGGAGAGCAAAACAGCACAAGTCAGCTTTGATTACTTATTCTGAGAAAAAGGACAGACAGACAGATAGCAGTTATATCAATACGTTAAACATTGTTAGTGTTTATTCAGGTTGTTGTAATATGATGTAATCATTTATGTTGGGGTGATATTGGTGTAGGATCCTCGAGTTCGTCTTGCAACCGCAGGGCCGCGTTCCAGCCTCAACCGTGTCAGTCGTTGTATCCTCCGCTGAGGATCTCCACCCTCATCGCCTACTGATGGTGTTCAGAGGGCCTGATGGCGCCTGTGTATAGTAGCCTCGCATCTGTCAGTGTGGCTACTATACAGCTCACCACCATCAGTGTGTGAATGAATGACTGCATATAGTCAAAGAGCTTTGGGTCCTTGCACTTGAAGGCCCACAATACAAGTACTACTAATCTGTGAGTCACCTGAACCTTGTTATTCATACGTTTACTTCCAGCAGGGCAAACGACCGGAGTCTTGGTCAGGTGAGCTGAGAAACAGAACATACTATTCTCATGTTTTATTTATTTAAGCACTCTGACGTCCTTTATAAAGATGTTTTACACACTAATTATAAATGCTACATATTTCAGGCAGTGAAGCTCCTCCACTGAGTCATTAACTGTGTCATGTTAAGGTGTCAGAGGCAGTTTGTCTGCAACAATTTCCCATCTCTGCTTTAAACAATCCTAAAAGCAACCATTTTGTGGCTGTATTTTTCTCTTTCACACTATTACAGATAAACTTTATTTTAGTTCTTCTGGAAGGCATGATGATTTTAGTTACCTGGCAAAGTGTTCCACAAGCCATCTTATTGTCTAATCAGAATCAGAAAATACTTTAATAATCCCAGAGGAAAATTACTTTTGTTACATGCCCCAGATATAAACATTTTTATATGTATATATACACACAACAAACCACACAAGATAATATCAATATAAATATATACACATATAACTCTTCTATATATATATATACATACCGTATGTGTGTATATATGCATATATATGTATAACTATAAATCCAGATAAAGTGATAAAGTGATAGTGATGAATATAATGGGGTGTGGAACACTTCCTTCTCAGATGTGTTGGAGCTTTGGATAGAACATCTCCAGTTGGAAGTGGAAATGGGAGCAGAATGATAGAATGAGCTCAATCTGTTATAAGACAATCAGAAACTTGAAGGAACATTCCTGAAAATAGACAGCACCAGATTAGATAAATGTAGTTTCATTCAAAGCTAAAAAAAAAAAAAAAAAAAAAGATGGGAATTTAGGAGAACATGAGCTACTTTCCAGAATTTTGTCGAATTTTTATTGGTATTCTACAAATAAAATATCATCAGGATAAATGGCTACATAACCCCACCCATTAAGCTTCAAATGACAGTGGACACTAATAACATTTTCATCAGGGCTCCTATTAATAGTTGTTTAAGAGTAAAATCTAAGTTTTTTTTTCCATTTCATTTATTTATTTATTTATTTGAATTAAGACAATGCACATGTCAGCTTAAAACATCAATGTAAATATGCCAGATTTAGAACAACAGCTAATTTGCATCTACTGTCCCAAGGCAGGTAAAAACAATGAACATTAAACAAGACACTACGAAGAGAACAGAGCAGACACAAACAGATAAGATGGAAATAACATGAAGTCATAATGAAATTAGGTTAACAGACCCAAGGAAACTGATAAATTCACCTGCAAACACATGTCTGGTTAGTTTTCAACCAGTGTTTCTGCGAGATTTTAAAACTTAAAACAAGTTCTTACATATTCAGTTGTATTTGATTTTTTTGTAAAGTATTTGTTAAAACAATTGTGTCCATAAATCATCATATTTAACTACAAAGAGAAATAAACTCTTACCTGTTTATTTACATGGGTAAGGAAGGGACAAATTTAGACATAATGGGGTAACGAATTCTGAGCAGCTAATTTGACCCAGAACAGAAGCGATAAATCTCTCAAAGTATTTTACTCTTAGTTGTCTCATGTTAATTATAAACTTATCTTGGAACCAACCTCCAGGTGAAATTATCAGAGCCTCAAGCCTTTCTGCTTGAACCTCTATAGCCAAACCTGCCTTGACATCCCACCATGTCCCATAAGAGGCCCACACAGATCCTCCTCCATGATTCACCTTTTTCACCTTCATCTGTGAGGCAAAGTCCATGTTTTTCCCTCTCAGATCTGTTCCTTCTAGCTGTTTAAGCATCAGTCTCCCAAAAACAATCACTGATTGATTTTAGGATTAAAATTCCCTTTTCTATAATGCACAGTCCTCACAGTTTTTCCACATTTGTCTCAAATAAGGACTCATTTACAAAGCTTTGAGGGCATATTTGAACAATTATAAACCTAACTAGGAAGAATGTTTAAAATGAAGACCTGTAGCCTACATAAAAGCGAAATAAACAACCTCTTGGACTTGAGGCAAACATCAACATTTGTCTTCTGGGAACGTTATCTTTTACCTAAAGCAGTTTTACTCCACATTTACATAATAAATCTGAAAACATTTGGGGATATGTTGTCTATCATACTCTGAGCTTCCTCTAATCTTTCCAATGTTTAACAAAAAAAAAAAACATTTAAAGACAAAGTAAAACAATTATTTCTCTAATGTTTTACCTTATTAGTAGTGTTTCTAATTTATCTTCAAATTAAAATCTTTAATACTCCAGGATTGGATATTATGATGTTAAGAGAATAATCCCAAAATTTAAGTCCAGCAGAATAAAAGTTCACCCCCTTTAAAACATAGAAGTCTTCTTTAAGGCTGGTCTGTTCATATGTGCTTCTGATGACTTTGTTCTTGGTCTTTCTCATTCTTTGCAGGGAGTGAGTGTCAGCAGCTCCTGGTCATAAAACGGCTTTTGGTCGTGGTCCCAGACTTCTCTGGTTAGGAGAGGACAGAGAGTCTCTGTGTCACTCTGATGGCACAGGATGTGAGGCGATCACTGAGAATGTCAATAATCACTCAAACTGAGCTTGATGTGATGCCAGTTCATTACGACATCCTGAATACCAGGACCAGGTGTGGCGTCTGTTACCATGACCAAATGGACACAAAGAAGATTCAAACAAGTTGATTTTCTTAAAATAACCAAGATGAATCCCGAGTGAAGGGGAGGAAACAGAACAGGGTGCAAACTCAAAGGTCACTTGGTCCATAAAAAACTCAGAATGCAATCCAGGCACAAACTCTAGAATCCAAGTCCAAAATCCAGAATCTAAAGTCTATGCAGAGAGAGAACAGGGGTCATACAGGTGATCCAAATAAGCACACAACTGAAAAACTCCAAGAGGGCTACGGCTTTGGCAGGGTCAGAAACAGTGCAGGTTTAAGAAAGGAAAAAGAATCACGGTGGCATTAAAGGTGAGTCAGACCTTTAGATGATCTAACAGGAGGCTGGAGGGAATCTGAGAACTTAACAGACAGCTGAACAGGTGGAAGACATGGAAATAATCAGGCAGAAAGTAAATGGTGCATTCAGGGTAGGCTGGGAAAGATCAAAACAGGTAAAACTTTGACACCAGGAGGGTGAAATTTAACATTCAGATCATTTATAAAATCAAAATGTCAATAAAAGGTAATGTGTCCATTATTTATCCACTTCTTATGTTTGGATTAAATGTCACAGAGGAACAAACACAGAACCAAGACCCATTGATGGTTCTGATACTTTCAGTAGTTGAGATGGAAAAAAAAAAGTTTGCTGCAAATCACTAATCAGTAAGATCTAAACCATTTTCTTTAACATTAAAGATTTAGATAAGTAAGGTCAGATGAAAAGAAATGACAGCAAACAGATGGAAGCTAGAAGTATATCATACAGACTGTGGTACACTAACTGGCCAAAAAAAGTCACCACCACAAAAAAAATGAACACACACAATTTTTCGGTGGACGGCCTTTTGCTTTGACTAGGTATGAATTTGCAGGAGAATATTTAATTTAATAAAGCAGGAATTTAACAGAGGAATTATTTTAGATCCACCAAGCCCTGCTGCATAAAAACAGCTTTAAATGGATCATACTTATACTTTACTCTTATCCATGGAAGTAGTTTTCATGTCATAGAAGCAGATCAGTTCCTTTGTCTAGCGGTTCTGAATGCCTAATTTCTTGGCTCAGCAGTCTGGGACTCTGAACATTTCTTTAGTCTGGGCTAAAGACTGCTGGAAGTAAACAAACAGAACAGAAACAAATGTTAAAACAAGGTAATTAGATTTGGGTTTCATCTCTTTCCCAATATCAGGACCCAATGTCTTATAAATGGTAATTGGAATTTATTATATGCAATTATTTGGTCATACTTGACATTCAAATAGCTTTACACCAGAGCCATGTGAAGAGCATGCACACATCCATATGTCAACATGCAGATTAGTTAGAAATATGGGTTGTGGTGCCTTGCCCAAAGGCTCATTGAATTGTGACATTAGGAAGCTGGAATCAAACCCATATTTCAAGGATTGCAAGATGACTTCCTGCTGTTATCACAGGCATCAGACCTTCAGTTAAAGAGTTCAAATCTGGTCATTCTAAAGAGTGTCACCTGATAGTGAAGGATTATTTTATCTCTGTGATGAGATGAGATGAAGGTCCTTCCTTAATTTCACTGTGTTTATGAGTCTGCATTAAAAGAAGAATTCTGAGTGCCTCTTATCTGACATATTTTTGGAGCTGGTACATCTCAGAGGTTTGCTGCTGATGTGAAGGTTGATAAAAGCAGACATTTTTCTTTTTCTATAAGTTGCAGAGTTGACTTTCTATCCATGTATCTCTTGCTTATATCAGCTTGCATCCTCTCATTCCAGTAGTTGTCTGGTGTCTGTCTCTAGTTCAAACAGTAAAGGTTGTCATTAAAAAACTTTGTGACGTTATTAAAGAAACTCAAACCAAGAAATGTATAACAACTAATTTAATAAATGATCTGTGAAGTTTCTAAATCCATATTTTTTATTCTTGTATAAGAATGTTATCATTACTTGTTTGTAAAAGTCAAATTGTACATATGAACATAGGAAAATGTAGGTTTGATCTGATTTATCTCACAAACTGATTGAGTTGTCAGAATATCTGTCTGTTCATTTTATCTGCTGGAACTTGAGGCTCAGCGTTCCCCCATCGGGATATATTTGTAGCTACAACACAATGTTCAAAAGCCTTTGTCCCTCATCCTATTGCTGGGAGCTGCGTCTCAGAGCGCGTGGACAAAAGGTGTCAAACGGAGCGTTGGACTCAGACCGCCATGTCCTCTGAGGCCACTCCTAATCCTATTAATATGGCCCATGCAGGGGTATGGATCCTGAACTCCCTTCATCCCTGAAACCATTAGGGTCTAAAGGGGACCAACATGTTTAATCGGTGCAATGTGTGTGACTCAGGGTGTGTGTGTATGTAATTGCATTGTAAGCGCCTTCTTATCCACGTTGTCATAATGTGTTATCCACTGATGCATTAAAGATTTGCCATCTCTTCCTTTTGCCATGGGGCTGCTGGACATTTCAATCTGCTGCCTTATATGGTAATATATCCTCTTCTGATAAGTTCTTTAAGTGGTTTTTCCTCCGATCCATCAGCTCTAAAGGCTCTAAAAGATAAAATTTAAAGATGAACAGTTTAGTTTACATCTTTTAAGACTCTTAAACTATAATTAATTATACCTCCTTGGTTATTCGATAACAATGCATTGCATCAACTATGATGCACCTCTTCCATCCTATACATTACTTTCTACCGTCCTTTCCACAAAAACATCTATAAATTTACCAAGACATCCACCTTCTCATTATCTTAATCTTCATTAGGATGTTTAGGAAAACAAAGGAGCTGGACTCTGTGTAATTCAGATTGGTTGAATTTCTATCTAAGGAAAACCAGCTAATGGCATCCAGTCATTGACTTTGCAGGATTCGCTCCTCCTGGATGAGCATGTAGACTGGGTAGATATTCACTTGCAATTCCTCATGCATACAACGACATTTGAGAGAAAACTCCCTTTGAACAGGAAGAAAACTCCCACAAACCCAGGCTCAGTGGTAAAGGCCATCTACTGAGGCTGACTGGAGGTTGAAGGAAACTGAAGCAGACGTACAAGTGGAACATAGAAGCAGTGATCCATAAATACTTTTTATGTAAGAAAAGGTAACAGTGAACTAGCTCCAGCTAAGATAGGTCTGTCTAGGAAAGAAACAGTTAATTAACATGAACAGGGAGTTGGGTTTTAATGTGATGGATGAAAGAAAGCACGTAGAGTTAGTCACAGTAAAAGCTGAGCCCTTAGCTATGGCCCAAACCTAAACTAGCCCTTAGACACTAACCCTAAGCTCTAACCCTCCATTTACCCATTCCCACAGAGCGTCCAGCATATTTAGGGTTGTCCCAAACCACTTAGTGGGGAGGGTGTCATATTTAGAGAAGAACGACTCTGAATCAGGGAAACCACGGAGACAGTTTGTTTGGTTAAGGAAAAAGCTTTATTTAATAAAGAACAGGAAATAGAGTCTGGCAGGATCTTCCTGGGTTCTGCTTGGGGAAAAGTTAGAGTGATGGTGAATAACTTGTCAGAGGAGGTGGGAAGACGGAGAATGCTGAACTCACAAGGTTTGAGTTTGTTTTTGGATTGGAAGGATGGTGTCCTGGGTCCAGGTGCAAATTGAGACACCCTTTCTGGTGATGTTTTGTAGGAGGGTGGACAGACATGCAGGCTCCTGAAGGAGAACTGCAGCAGACTGTGACCTGAGAGATCCAACAGATGAGGATGGTCCAGGCTTGGAGGTTCATTTGGCTTGGTTGGGTACTAGGAGGGAAAAGACTGAGACAAGGAATTAGACCTGGCTTTAAGAGAAATCTAGAAGCAAGCTGGTAGGTCATATACCAAGGTGGTAGCGAGAAAGAACTGACGCCCTCCTCCTGGTCCAAGGTCCTTAAGTAGGCTCCAAATTAACAGAGATGAACCGCACCTGCCCATCACGCCCTTCAGAGAAGAGAGAGAGAGAGACACCAGGCCTGCAGTATGACACAGGATGAGTTGACCGTTCAGACTTTAAACAGCGAGTCTGCATCGGTGCAGTGCAGCGCTGTTCCCACAGCATGCCGATCAGAGCCGAGGCGATTTTAACACAGGTTGCTTGCCGAGTTGTTTGACCTAGGTAGACACACTT